ATGAGCCTGCGGCGGCGGCGGCGCGATGCGCGCGCGCGCGCGCTCAGGACGTTCTATGGCAAGGAGCCAATCTGGCGTGACACTGCGCGTAAGTATTTTCCTGGGGGCCACCAAAAACTGGTGCGCCTTTCAGGCGCAGGTAGGAATGATATACAGCCCTTTTCTTGAGGCCCATGCTCTTCAAGGCCTCATCAATGCCCTCAGCAGATACAAGCTGGCTAATCCTTTGAGTGGAAAGTCGTGTCATACGTTTTTCGCTAGGACTCTGCTGCAACCCCTTGCGGCCAAGCTCGTGGGAATGGTGTGCCGGCTTCTCTCCATCGAATCCGGATGACTGCGCCATGCTTTGTCCTTCAGCACTGGGTCAGCACCCTGACTATGACGGAGCTCTGATTCGACAGTCTTAGGCACCTCTCAACTTATCAAACACCTATAATATTTTCGCTAAACTGACGTTTCTACAGCAGTCTCAGAACTGACGTTTCTACAGCAGTTACTACACATTATCACTGTTTTTGCAGGCACCTTCCGGCTTCCAGTTCTGAAACGATAATAGAGCGCACGTTTACAATAAAAATCACATGGCACATTAGCCAGCTCCCTGGCCCGCTGACCGTGACAAGCTGATGAGGACTCAGCTCACTGATCTGCTTAGCCGCCTGCGGCTGTCTCTGCACCCGAGCTCATGCAGCGCATCTTGGCGGGTCTTGGCAAACGTTTTGAAAACTCGAAGATTAAAGATGTGGACTCCAGCTCAAGCAGCGGGATCCTGATGGGATCAGGAGTCAGGCAGCTGATCAATGCAGCATGCAATTTAATTTGAATGGCTGATGTCAATGAATGTGAAGGTGTTTACGCTGGTACCAGATGGTACCGGATCAAACCATAAACCGTATTAGGTACCGGTAATCGAACTTCGAAGGTACCGCCGGCGCCGTCGACTGTTTCAAGCTGGTCAATCCAAATTGCGGTACCTACCGGGTCCCCACGTCGCAGAGGCTCTGAATTAATTCAGATTGACGGCTCAGCCAATCAGAGTGATCCGCCAAACAGGCCGGGGCCCGGCTCAGGCTCAGGACTCAGGACTCGGGACTCGGGACTCAGGACTGTGTTGGTGCAGCAGAGCCTGAGAAGTCAGGAGTCAGTAGGTACCTGGGCCCAAGACTCTACATTGTGCACAGTGTGCACGGCCGTGCACGTTGCTGCGTGCACCGTGCAGTACACCAAGCTGCTGCCAGCTGGCACAGGGCCTATATTAGAAATGACACTTCGGGAATAGGTCAAACGGTAGAATATTAGCTCGAGGAATAGATCACCAGCCTGGGACGGCTTGGGGGGGGTTCGGGGGTTTAGGGTGGGTACGGGTGCGGAGCAGATAGATTTTATAAGTTGGGATTTTAGTGTTTGGTTTGAGCTTACTATTCCTAATTTTGAATTGTCGCGACATCATAGATTCATACTCATTCAAATTGAGATATTCCAGGCTCCCAATGTCCCATTGCCCCAACGCCCCTCCCAACCAGACTCCACCCGTGACATTCAGAAGCTAAGAGATGGCAGCTGGGCCAGATAAACAGGGCCTAGGATTGAAAACGGAGAGGGATGACGCAGGTCGCAGCTTTTGCTGCTCGTGCAACCTAGAAGAACGTGAGCTCGACATAGAATTAAGCAGCAGCTAGCTTGCTGAGCTTGGGGCCAGCGTTGTAGAATAAGCAGGGTTTGAATTGGTTGATACATAATTGGGAGCCTGAGGAGCCGGGTCCGTGTCCCTCGCCAGACTCCTCCTTGCAAGCCCCAGCTAATTCAATTGTGGAAGTGAGGAGGAGGCAATAAAGCTAGATTGTGGATCGGAGACATTCAGAGGTGACCGTCATGGCAGATGGCACAGCGGAAGCAAACACTACAGGCGAAGGTCCAATTAAAGATTCTGGACAAGCACGACTGGAGCAGCTTGGGTAGGTTTTTGGCTCCATTCTTTTGCATTGAGGCCAACTTAGTATGCTGAAGTCTCTTTTTGCACAGACGCGGAAAATGTTGGAGTTGCTGGTATCAACATCTGCACAATCGTCCTCTCTGCTCATTGTTTCCTTCAAGTCATTGCAGTCTGAATAGCATTCATGATCGGGCCACTAATCAAATTAAAACAGCCAGCCCCTCAACCGTGTATGATTCCTTTGTGGTCAATCTTCCATTTTCATATTCTCATGTGCTGTGACACAACTTGGTAGAATGAGAAAGCTTCTTACTTTTGCTAGTACAGGTTCCAGGGACACAATTAGGAATACGTATGCAGTCTGTCCAGAAGGCAGAGCAGACGAGCTCAAACAAAGTCTCATAACCCTTGTATAAAAAACTTTGACTATCAGGCTCCATCTCAGCGTGTCATCCTACAGCATCTGTCGGAAGCCACTGCTTGATATTTTTGTCTCAGCTGGCTTCTGAAGTATTTGACAACTGGATATAGGCAAAACATTCAAGATGCATGTTAAAAGTTGATGGCATTGTCACAAGGATCTTTGAATAAGAGCACCTGTCCTTGTACCAGGTACAAACAGGAGCTTTCGCGGACTCTGGTGAGTACCTGCCCCAGTCACAAAGCTACGCCTTTTGGAAAAGCACAGCCTGAGTGAAAGATGAGAACTTGCAGACTAGCATGAGTCTGATAGCACTCATCGTGCTCAGGCTACAGAATCATAGCTGTTCTTGCTTGCATGTTGCAAACTCTCTGAGGGGCCAGCAATGGACACGTTTTTTGCCAACACAGTTGGTCCATCAAGAGGGAATGATGTAACTAACAAGCTGACCTAAATTGTCATAGACAAAGCTGTTGTAAAGACACCTTGCTGCTTTCAATATCACGAACCAATCCATGATACATCACAAGGAGAATGGCAAGGAGATGAGCCATTTGCAACAAAAATGCCTGCAGCATCATCCCTACACCTGTCTCCTGTGCAGTCTCTGCTCGTGAACGTTGCGCTCGGGTATGGCACCATGAGCATTCTCATGAGCAACACTGGGCTCTACGGGCTTGGCTTCACCTATGGTGGCCCCGTGACAATCATCTGGGGGTGGCTTGTTGTCAGCTTCTTCGTGCTGTGCATCGCAGTCTCGATGGGGATGCTTTGCTCCAGTTTCCCGGTGCGTCTCAGGCTTTGGCTTTATTTCCTCTCGATCCTTCCCAATGCTTCTGCGCCCCTGACTTCCCTGTCGAGTGATCCGGCTTTAATTGCCGCGAGCGCTCTCAACATACATCTCCGCTGTCTGATTACTTTGGTAAGGCCTCCTTTGCTCGAGATGGAGCTCAATTTCTCACAAACAATAGGAGAGAACATTTGTCAGATTATTTGACCTCTTAGTCACAAATGAGAGGTGCTTTTTCGGCTTTCCTTGAGCGTTAGCATGTTCTCAGATTCTGAGAAGCCATATTTTACTGTCCCAGCGCGCAGGGCTTTGCTTTCAGAGGTCACACAAATCCTACCAAGGATGGCTTGCCCTCGCTTGTCGTTCCTACTTGCTTCTTTCCAAACTTCTCTGATGGGGAAGGGCAGACCCTTCACAAGCCTTCAATTTTCCCCCGGCCGGCACTCCCGCTTGAAAAGCCTAACAAACCCTTACCTTCTATCAAATACTTCTCTTTCCACCTCACCCATAGTCATTTGCTCTCGGGCTACAGCAATTCCTCTCAGACTCTGTAGCCGCTCCGAGCACTCATGATTCCAAGTGCTTTGCAGGCCAGTACTGAGCTCGTCGCGCGGAAATTATCCGCCTACCTATTGAGAGACCATCGAAAAAGTTTCATTCCTGAGCTTTATATATGCATCTAGAGCTCCTCAAAAATCAATCGCTTCCTCTCCGTGAGGTCTTCCAGCTCTTCGAATAACCCTCTCGCTTCGAGAAGGCGCCTCCTCCCTGAACCGTCCCTTGCTAAGTTAGTTTTGCACGCCCCACTGCTTACTTACCACTTCTGCTCCCTTCCCTGCTCGGCATAATTAGAGCTCTTCATTAATCCCTTCTTGAACAGTCCTGAGCACTATCCGAACCCTAATTGCAGACCGCCGGCGGGCTCTACTTTTGGTCCTACTCGCTCGCAGGCCCCAAGTATGGGCCCCTCTGCGCCTGGTTTACGGTCTGGTTCAACTACCTAGGAGACGTTCTAGGAATGGCGGTTGTGAATTACGTGGGGGCAACGATTCTCGCAACAATGGTCGTGATCGCCTCCGGAGAAGGGGGCGGAGTCGAGGGGGGCGCTTACGTGGCCACCAAGGGAGTGATGGTCGCGTTTGCCGGGGGCTTGTACATTTTGCAGGTGAGGCGGAGAACGACCCGGGGGAGTCGTTACGAAAGCAGTGCAGCTATAAGGCGTGAGAGTGTTTATTATTTGAGGTTATCCTGGTGCACAGCTGTTGTTTCGAGGATGGAGTGAGCGCAGATTGCTCGGACGAGATGGTACAATGCACATGTGAGACGACGCATCAGCGGTTAAGCGAGATCAGATTGAATGTTAGATACAAACGGATTGAGGGATGCTTACTCGCTTGCAAGTCCGAAGCTTCACTGTGAGCATATTCGGTCGCGCTCGTTTGAAAGCCTGCCAACACATGGTTGCAATTTGCGGTTACGCATCATGACCCGCAATCTCTCACTTTCGATTTGCAGGTGGCAGTAAATGTTTTTGACGTGAGGGTTCTCGCGTTCTTTGGCAAAGCGGGACTCGTTCTGGAGATCGTGGGCTTGGCTGTCGTCATCATTGCCCTGCTTGCCGTCAGTGGTGGGCGTCTTTCGTAACTTCGTTCATTTGTTCTTTCATCCGAGATCGACTCTGGCGTTGTGACCAAAGGGCGGTCAGCTGAACAGGCCCCAATCTGAAATGGAAATTTTTGAGCTGAGTAGCCCGCTCTAGTTGAGCTGCGGAGGACGAACTTGTTCTTGCCCCTGAGAAGCCTCTGGGACAATTGCCAGACGTTAAGTTTCCCTGCCTTATGCAAACAGTCCTTCCGGTGAACGTGGCAGACCTGGTAGAGCCTTTCAGCATTCGAGTGGCTAAAGGTTTGATTCTTTTGGATATGATATGCTTTTGCGATTCCGCCGACTTGCGTAGCAGATTGTCCTGGGCCACAGCTAGCCACAAGCACTCAACACAAAGATTAAGAAATGCATAAAATAGAGAAGAAAATCATTTTCCGTCAGCGTCCTCCGCAACCTCTTGACAACGAGACGGCAGTTTTCTCTCCTGCTTGATTAGCCCAGGTCCAAGACATGTGAGTCGATCAAATGTGCGCATCATGGGCGGGCCGGACCCGAGTCCTTTCTACCTTCCTTTGATTACAGGCCTGGCATGTTGAGGCTTTGTGTACCTGGAACAGATTGGGGGTCCAGATCACCGGAAGGAACTGAATCCGTCGACTACAGCCGCTCATGTCATATCCCAGGGTTTCTCGGGCGATGCGCCTCCCAGGTGTCCCTACGACACTTCCACCGTACTCTTCCAAGTCTCCATCTTTATCCCCTGCAGAACGGAAACAGTCGGCGGACTTCGTTTTCACGCACTGGGAACCAGCGACGGGGCTAGGCATCCACAGCACGTTCTACATATTCCTGCTCGGATTGCTGCCCGCCTGTTTCACGATCAACGGCTTTGATGTAAGCGCTCAACTGGAAGCACGCTGGTGCGCCTCGTAATTCCCAAGATACAGGGAAGGACGACCCCAATATTGGACCAGTGTTGCTTGCAAAGCGGCCGCGCTGCTTTTTCTCACGCGCATTCACGGTCGAACGCCTACATTTCCAGAAGTGGAGCAGGGTCCGCAAAATCTGCACTCAATTGTAGTGACACCAATCTTTATGTCTCGACCTCGAATAGGAGTAGAGCTCTTGTGCTGGCGTGTAAAAGCGGAGTCCTTCTGCTTTGCAAACTCGTTTTGATTGCGCTTTTCACTTTCACTTCGCGCAACACCAAAGTATCCATGTCATCTGTGACGTACGTGTCCTGTTTTACGAATCATGATCGGGCTACGAACAGCTCGTCGCATGGAGTCTGCGCACGGGCACACCGCATCGAAGCGGAGACAACCTGTTGGATGCCTTAGGTTAAAGCTTCTTTCTGTCCTGTCTGTCCTGTCTTCCAATCGATCCTAACGTAACGTACTGCTTCAGGAGGTGGACCCAATCGTTTCTGCATTGTGGCGCCCTTTTTTCGGAGGACGGTTTGATCGTTTCAGATTCCTGACGTGGAATTCTATTCTTGATGCAGGCGCCGGCGCATATGTCCGAAGAGACGGAGCGGTCCGACCGCACCGCACCGCTGAGCATCGTCGTGTCGGTTGCGGTTGCCGTCTTCACCGGATTCGCGTTCCTGCTCACCTTGACGTTCTGCATTCAGGTTAGGCTAGAAATGGTGTCTTCGCATCTCTAAAATCCCTCTTGTCTGGTAACAGAAACGGGGTACTTAAAGAGCCGCGATCATCTGATGGAAGTATCGAGTCTCTGGCTGTTGAGTCGTCGGAATCTAGAGAGGCCCTACTGTTCCTGAAGCACACTGAAAGAATTTGCTCGCAACCAGATCTGGGTAACGGGTATCGAAAAGCACACTGAAAGACTTTGCTCGCAACCAGATCTGGGTAACGGGTATCGAAAAGCACACTGAAAGACTTTGCTCGCAACCAGATCTGGGTAACGGGTATCAAAGCAGCTCTCGACCAGATTCGTACAGTAGAAGGGCCCTGATGGAGCCCAAGCTGGCTTGCTCAATAGCCCTTTTGGCACTCAAAATCATCTTATATCACGAGCTGCGCGCTCCAGAAGTTTGCAGCATTTCATTTCACAACAGAACAATGATTGTATAGGCGAGCTCTCACCGTTTCTTTTTATGCCCTTTTCTTAGCCGGCCTGTTTTACTAAGCTTCTGAAGAACGAACCTGCTCCCAACCAAACGTTGGTAATGCGTTATCACTCTGCACTTAACCAGTCTAGTGTAATAGAAAGCGAAGCGCACCTCCTTCAGGCCTTCCCATACTCAGGTCAAGGGCGGCTTTTCTATGTGCATTTGCAGGACCCCGTGCTCGAGGCGAAAGGGACCTGAACGGCGGGCCTCAGCGCGGGCGGGCAGATCTTCATTGATTGATATCCCGCACTTGACCAGCACTGATTCAGCACTGATTCAGCATTTAAGTCTGCCTAACCATGCTCCGTCAATGCTTTCGTTTGGAGGACCCCGCGACGCTCTTCGACCCTGGGTACACAGTCGTGGTGGCGCCTCAGCGCGGGGGTCCAGATCTTCGTTAATGATTGAAGATCCCTCACTCATCATTTGAGCAGTACTTGACCAGCACCTGTAAATCAGCGCTCAAAATGGCCTAACTATGCTCGGCCACCGGTTTGGTTTGCAGGACCCCGCAACGCTCTTCGACCCTGTAAATGCAACGGCGGGCCTCAGCGCGGGGGGGCAGATCTTCCTTGTCAGCATAAGCTGCACTTAACCAGCACTCAACCAGCAATCAATCAGCTTAACTTTGCCTAAGCATGCTCGGCCAACGATTTCTGTTGCAGGACCCCGCAACGCTCTTTGACCCCGGGAACGCAACCGCGGGCCTCAGCGCGGGGGGGCAGATCTTCTTCGACGCGTTCGCGAGCCGCGGCTACACGCACAACGCGTCCGTGGCTCTGCTGAGCCTCCCTCTCGTGTCCTCCTTTTTGGGCGGAATGGCTCTTCTCGCCGCCATGTCTCGCATCGTAAGCTGCTCAGTGCTTCAATTTTCGCTACTGGTCAGTACCCGGGATTGATCGGATTTATGGTAATGCAGGGCACGACTTCGAAATGAGTTTAAACCACCAGACCGACTATTAATACCTGGGAACCACATTCCGTCAGTTCCGAAACTCCGAACCCCGAAACTTAAAATTTCGGACAAGGGCGCACCAAAATCGCTGGATGCAAGAATTATCGCTGCGCTACCGGAAATGCATGTGTTTAGATGGATTCTTTCGGCGGTTTCGATGCGAGCTTGTAGGGGCTGCCATTCCTGAGCTATAGAACGAAGAACCGCCGGAAACGATGAAGATTTGCTTCATTTTTATGGTAGCATAAGCTCAATTTTCACGGAGTCAAAACCGTGCGCCCTCGGCCGATTTTGAATTTTGGTGGCCGTTTGCCGACAATGCCACGTCAGCATATTGAGTTTGCCCGAGTATAAAGTCGGTCTGGTGGTTTAAGCCCGTAGGTCATGCTCGGTTTGCAGATCTCGCATGTTGTTGAATTATTTCTAGAACCTTGTAGCGCTGGGGTCTTCAACAAAGAGCAGATTCAGAAAAGGCGGCTACCCCAGGATTTCGATACCGGGCTGCTGTCTTTGGCCTTTTGAGTGCGCGGAATGGGGCGCAGTGTCACACAACAATCTTGCGGTCATCTCAAACAAGGAGCTTCTTCTGAAGACGGATGGCAATATTGGTGCCTTGAAAGCAAGACCCACTGCAGATTTGTCTTTGTTTGATCAGAGGTAGGTAGAATGCAAGTTACCAGATGGCCGTGAGTCGCCGCAAAGAGCGCGTAAGCCTGCTTCCGAGCTGGCAGACATTCTAAGCTTGAATGGCGAGGAAAAGTGCCCGCCGGCCGCTTAGTGAGCTGAGCTAGCGAGTGACGTAGTCTGACCCTTTGGAGCACGGTTCTCATTATCTTACTAGCACCATCTGAACGTCCGCAAAGCCTTGGCTCGCAGATGTTTGCGGGGTCCCGCGACGGGCGCGCTCCCCTTCAGCGCAGCCCTCCGCTAACCCACCCAAACCTTAACCCAGTCATTCACGCACTTCCACCTGATCCCACTCTCACCCAAATCCTAACCCAACCCGTAATTTGTCATCGCAGACGGTGTCCTGGGGCAGCGCGCTCCCTTTCCGCGCGGCCCTCCGGCTGACGCACCCAATGACAAACCGAAAACTCATGAATCTCCGAAACTTCTAACCCGACCTGATTCACAAGCTAACCCTCCCGTAGTAACTGTCCGCTCGCAGATGTTTGCGGTGTCGCGCGACGGCGCGCTTGCCTTCAGCGCGGCCATCCGGCTGACGCACCCAATGACAAACTAAGCCTTCGAAATCCTTCACCCTTTTTAACCCACAAGCTAACCCTCCTGTGGTCCACTGACTTGACTAGCACTCGGTAACAAACCAATAACCTTAACCCTCCAGACTCACCGTAAACCACAAATCAACCCAGAAGCTAACCCTTCCGCTCGCAGCCTGGCAGAGTTTGCGGTGTCGTGCGACGGTCGCTCCCCTCCAGCGCAGCCCTCCGGCTGACGCACCCAAATCTTAACCCAGACAACTATTCACGTACGCGCTTTCACCTCAACCCGCTCTAACCATAAGCTAAACTCGCAGATGTTTGCGGTGTCGCGCGACGGCGCGCTCCCCTTCTCCGCGGTCCTCCGGCTGACGTCACGGACCAGCCACGTGCCCGTGGTCGCCGTCTGCGTCTCCGCCGCCCTCAGCTTCTCCTTCGTCCTCTTCTCGCTCAAGAGCTACGTCGCATTCAACGCGGTGACATCAGCGGCGCAGATCTCGGCGTATCTGGCGTACGGGACGCCCATCCTGCTGCGGATGCTCAACCCGGGGGCCTTCGTACCGGGGCCGTTTGACATGGGAAAGTAAGTGCGACATTCTGACGGATATCAGCCCGGAAGACATCTGATCCCTACGGAGAAATGGTTTGCCTTCGAGCAAAATTGATGAGGCTGGGAAAAGCAGCTTCCACCAGCTTTGCGCCTCCAGTGAAAGCGCGCAATTCGCAATTAGCTAAAATTCTGGCAGGCGTCCTAAGGGATAGTCTCGAAGCTTTCGGTCGGAACACGAGCGATTGGGTTGATAGAGCCCGTGACCGAGGCTTTTGCATCGTCTTAATGGCAGCACAGTCTTTGCGTGAAGCAAGCTCCGCTCGCTGGGCAAGCCCCACCGTGCTTTAAAGTCATGCGTGTTACCTTGAATCCACCCGCTTTGAAAGTGGTAGCTCCCGCTTCAATTCGCGTGGAAAGCCCCGGCCAATCCTATCTTTTTGAGTTTGTTTTTCTTGAGAAGTAAGCCCGCCGGGAACACGCCCATTCACAAGCCTGACTTGTGCTCAGCAGTCGACTCGTTTCGTCTCAACCCACCTTCTTTTCTCGTCAGACCTACTCCACAAAATTCCTAATTGCTGTTGAATAACACGTAGCACCAAGTCGATGGCATGATGCGTGCCCACCTATATGAGCTTCGAAGTTCTCTCCGAATCTGTCCAGGATCGCGAGAATCCAGTCATGCATCTGACCCATATGGTAGCGCCTCGAGTGCATTCTTTTAGGAAATACTGTTGGTGAATTTCCTAATGTCCTTGCGATTCACTGTTGAGTCGTTTGCTGTAGGTGGAGTTACGTCTTCGGAACGATCTCCATCGCGTATATCTCCTTCATGTGCGGCGTGTTCTGCTTGCCGACCGTCTACCCGATCACCAGGTGAGAGGCTGGCAACGCGCATAGCTTATGAGAGGCTCCTGGGGTCCACTCCTTCCATCGAATGCGTGAAAGGTTGCAATTTTTGAGCTCTAAAAAAGGGGACGTCTGCAAGGAAGGGTTTGGGCATGCAGTGGTAACGTTTGCGGAGACGAAGCAGGTGCACCTTCGCCTTCGCACGAAGTGCAACTTCCTCAACGCTCTGTGAAAAACTCTTGGGAATCAGTGGAGGGCGCTGATCTAGTCGATCGTCCCGACGCCACAACCACTACTGGCTGTGAATGCCATAATTCAGGGTGGCTGAAAGCGGTTGTTTCTTTTGGTCGCACCTTGTATCAGGAGAAAGAAGAATGCTCAAGGAAAGTCCTGCTGATTTGAACGCCGCCTTACGTCCCCAAGGGACTTCTCCGATATGAAACTTTGTGTTGCCATGTGTGCAGCGACACGCTCAACTGGGCTCCAGTTATTCTCGCTAGCGTCATCATACTAGCTTCCGTGGTCTGGGTGACGTATTCTCGGGATCGCTACCTGAGCAACCGGAAAGGGCTTGTGACACCAGGGAACGTTGGAAAAGCTGGGCTCATCGATCATAAGTTATGAAACAGCCGTTTCAGATATGACAGGACGCTATTAAGCTACTCAAGTGTCGGACTGAGCTTCCAACGGGCACGATGCGTCAAAAGGTTCCTCGAGCAAAACGTGGATCCTTTCGTTCAAGGAAAAGGGCAGAAGGTGCTTGTATACCGGTACAGGTGACTCGTATATCTAACTGTGCACTGGATTGTCAAGCTTCTCGAGCTTTTGTGGAACATACTATAATTAATGTATGGCCCTGTGCCATCTTATATGAACTCGAAGCAGTTGTACGTAAGTTTAGGATCAGTGACGAGCAGATGTACGCTCGTTTGTCTAGAGCAGGCTTGACCGCCATAAGTTGAGTCACTAAGGGCGATCCAGTCAAACTTCTGTAGGTTAACATGACTCAAGCTAGCATTGGATAATAGACCCGGTTGGGCCCGGCCTCGACCATCACTTTCCCAGAGGCTCTGCATTCGTATACGTGCCAAACCCGTAGATTTTGATTGAACGTTGAATGCCTCTTGAAAGGGCATACGCAAAATAGGTAGAATCACTTCGATCCACTCATAGGGCGGTCACATATGAGTTCTCGGGGAAGTGGTGAGTGTTCCCTGAGGGAGCGTATACTCCCCGAGAATCTACTTTGGTCATAATTTTTCTTAGGAACACATCGCGCGAAAATCTAAAGCTTCCAGGATTACACGGCGAGAGAGACTGTCCGAGTAGTGACCGCCAACCGTCCCTAAGTATTTTTACCGGCGTCCCTGAGGGGCGTCCCCCAGAATATCGAGTTGAAATTCTGGGGGACGAAATCACCGGTTTTCGGTCCCTGAGGGACAAAATTTTCGTTCCCTGAGGGACGGTGCACCCCGAAAATGTTCATATGTGACCGGTCTATCAGCCCAGCCGGCCTGTACCAAGTCCTTTCATATCGTGTTCCTCCTAATTATATGTCTCTCTAAAACACTGATCACACGGAGACGATTTGGCGGACGCAGGAGGCCAGATGCGATCATTCAACGTCAGGGCAGCCTCAGCCTCGGAGATGCATACTATGTGGACCTTCCAACTTCGATCGAGAAACTTTCCAAGCCGGCACTCTTTCATAAGAATATGACGGTAAGGTGCGGCTCAGTGTAATCATTATAATGATTACCCTGCTTATAAGCAGGGTCCGACGAAACGGTCCAAATTCCGATCAGCCCTTCCGAAGTTGATCAGCCCGTTCAACGGTTGGGACCACACCGTTCATTTGGAAAGCACACCAGCTACTATAGCTAGATCTGTTTCCTCGAGGAATGGCAAGAACTTGAAGCGTTCGATCGACATATACCGTGCAAATCCGACCCTCATTTACTGATTATCGTGACTTCCGCATCATGGTTACATTTGTCAGTTGCATATATAAAATGATTATGATCATGATTCGTGCACAATATGAGCAATTAGTATGTATGGTGCTCCAATGACATACGTACGTACGTCTTTACAAGACTCAAGCCTAGCTCACATACCACACTTTGAGTCAATCATTGTTTGAGCCCCGCGCGGCGGCATTGAAGAATTCATTGCAGGGCGGGCCGGTAGTCAATATAGTGTGATGACACTCTCGACGCTCGCACTGCAATCTCCCGGCAGGCTCGCAATCCAATCTTCTATATGTATGCCTAGCTGCGCGCGCGGGACGTCGATCGTTCCGACATGCATGCATTTTGAATCATGCTCAATCGGGCCAGTGCATAGACGAAACTAGCATAGGCTTGCCAAGATCGCGTAGTGACCTAGCTTAGTAGGCAACCGTCCTTGGCCGGCATGTATACTGATCGAACAAGCAGCAGGAATCAAAAGGAATGTCAATATTAGCTTGCTCGATCACAATATTCAAATTATAGGTTATACTTTTGGCTGAGCATATTGAACTTTTCGTTCTGTACAGTTCATTGACGATTGGGCGGATTGAAGATCAGATTTCCTGCAGGTTCAGAAGCGTACGGTCCTACGCATTCGAGTTTCGTAGCTATAACAAATATAATTAGCAGTCGGACCCTGGTAGCTTCTTTCCAAAACGTCTCAAATCAGGTCGGGTCATACTTGTCGTATCATATGTGTGTGCGGCTTCATACGAAAGGCTGAAGGCTAGCTTGTACGCGTCACCTTTCGGTCAGATTACAACAGCCGGGCCTCGGTTGCTTCTCGGGCAGAAAAGCTATGGACACGGTGCCCAGCTTATACTCCTCGAACTCCATCCCCAGCGCTGTGTTGCGGATCTTCGCGAGTGACCCGTCCTTTATTCCAGCAACCAGGTTGCCAAACTGCCCAAGCGCGGCTTTGGCCGGGAGAAAGTCGTCAATATGCCCCGAGCACAAGATGACCGGGGGATCCCCCGGGGCGGCCGCCTCCTCTTCTTCAACCAATCGCATCAGCTTAGTCACCGAGCTTTGGTACGCGTCCCAGCTGCGGCCGTCCAGGTGGATGAAGATCGGCGACCACTGGTAGAAGCTGTCACCGACGAAGAGTCACCGTTCTTTTGCATAGTAGAGCGCGATCTGGTCGGGGGTGTGCCCGGGGGTGAAGAGTACGCGGACGGAGTCGAGATCGCCGGGGCCTAGCCTGCGAGAAAACGCGAAATTTTTCGTGCATCTCCATTCTTTCTCACGATCAAGAACACGTTCGTTCTGAGGACGGGCGGGTGATGTTTCAGTTGCACCATTGGACGGGTACAGGTTGAGCATGTTGCGCTGCGCTGGCACGAAGAAATTTGATGAAAGGTCGTCGTGTTTAAAAAGGAAAGGTGCCCCCTTGGATGCACCAGAAGAACCCTTCAATACCTGAATCTGCTTTGCAGGGATTCTTCATTTACTTGCTTCTCTTCGATATGCTTGGTCCTATGATCAAAAAACAACAAGGAGCAAACCCAGAGCCCAGATCTAGTTGATTGCCTTCAACCATTCGGTCTTTCTTTCCCCCAAGAGTTCCCCAGATTGAAGACCATTGTGATATTCCTATCTCAACACGCCTCAACAAGTAAGCGCGATTGTGGCGACAAGTAGAGAGTGTTCCATGAAACACGGCGAGGTTATTCAGTGACTTCAGTGGAATGCACTAAATATGCAAGTCATTAAGAGGGGACTGGATCAACAAAAGGACAATATTGCCACAACTTGGCTTGAACACGTAAAGTCTTTTGGCATTTCCCAATTGAGTTCAGAAAATGGGATTGTATTCAGGCAGCACTGCACCAATCTGACCGGATAACAGGAAATGCTGGCAAACATGTACAGTAGAGCACCTACAAATAATACATCTTTCAGGCTCTAGGATGGAGAAGAAGCTGGAAAGCTGCCGTTCTTTGTATCACGCTTGTGAAAAGCAAAGCTTCAAGGTTGACTATCACGCAAGAAGCAACTGCATGGGTCAAAGTAGAGGAAACTCCCAGGAAGTGAAAGTCCAGTGACACGGCAGAACACGCTGAGATACCACTTGGGCGAAAGAAGCAAGAGAAGGAAACAAGGGACCAGAGAGCACATGTTATACCGCCTAGCGCACTCTGCACGTTCAGAGAAGGTTTGCATGCTTTTAATCAGCACTGTTTTACGTATTTCAGCTCCAAACTTAGAGCTGACCAGCGATCAAGCTGTATGGTAGCAGATTCTAAAACCTGTCAAAGGAAAGGGCTTGAAACGAAACGCTCATTGGTGCTCACCGGATAACCTCCCCATCTGCCAGCCACTTTGTGATTTTGAACCCCTTGACTCGCTCCCCGAAGCTGAAGGGGTTGCTCCCCCAAGTTTCCGTCCATTGCTTATCCACCGCCCCGAACGCGAGCTCGGCACAGCACGCAGCCTTTCCCCCCGCGCCGCTGAACTGCCAATTGCAGCCAATGTGGTCAAAATGGCTGTGAGTGCAGACAATGTAAATCGGCAATTGCTGCGGGTTCAGCTCAGAACTGGTGACAAAGCTCAGAAGGTCGCCGGTTCCGCACCCCGTGTCTAGCAGGAGCAGCCTGTCCGCTCCTTCGAGGAGGTACATGAAGGGGTACTCTCCGTATGGATCATACTCCACGATCTTCCAAACCGTGGGGGAGAGGCGAGACCACACATACTTGGGGCGGGAAGCAGGTTTGTGCTCTTCTGGTGGCAGAGAAGCCATGCTCTGCTCTATTCAGAAATCAATGTTTGTGCAACACCCACCGCGAAGCCCGATCTTAATCTAGGAACCTGAGAACAGCGAGTCCCACTGCCAGCGCCGCCTAGAGCTACAGAACGTCATGCTAGCTGCTAGCATTTTGATCCTTTCAAAACTTGAAAGCTCAGAGCTCTCCAATCGGAATCGGGCCTAGCTTCAGCCTTCAGTGCTTTCTGCGGCGTATCTACGTTGGTACGTGTCAATATTGGTACGTGAAGCGGAAGCGCCCAGTTCAATGGCAGTTGGTGCCTGGTGAATTGGTCGATTTACTGGTAAAAATTATTTTTTGGAACGAATTAATTTTGCGATTGATGCGAAGTTGATTCATGCGTAAACCCTGCGCGCCAACCCTGCACCCAGAGATCATTGATTGCGCCAATTGGGGTTGCGCCGGGTTTCCCGCCCAGAGCCCCTATTTCGCCAATCCTGCGCAATTCTCAAAAGATCCTGCTTATATGCACATAAGATAGCAGTTTTGAGACCAAAGTTGGTCAGAATCAGACCGAGAGCAGTCGATATTGCGGTTTTGACTCGGTGAATTGACTTCGGAGTTTTTGCATATTGCGTTCCAATGATTTGTATAAGGAAAATTTTAGTTTTCTGCATAAGCGGCAAGCATTGTACCGGTATTTCGCCAATTTCGCCGGATTGCGCCAATTGGTGCATTTTGAATTAGGGTTAGTGCATAGCGGGTTTGCATTTCGCCACGATCTCTGCCTGCACCGGGATCATGATAGGCCCGCGCCGCGGGCGCGCGGCGGACCGCCGGGAGGATTTGCGCAGCGCGGCCGGCTGAGTTAGGATCGGTGATATGGACCTGGCCAGTGTGCATGCATGCCCGCTGACCTGGCATCCTCGAACGGTTTTGTTGCTGAGCTGGACCGACGATGTTCGATTTGAGGAGGACCTGACGTCGAAGAAAGGCTCGCCGTGTTGGCCCCCACAGCTTTCGATGGAGGTTTCGACGACTCAAGCCGTCGAGTCACGCAACCCGATGTATCATGTGGCTAGCCAGTATCTGGAGAGCTGACGCTCCGCGAAGCCAGCACATGTGCGGATGGGGCCAATGTCGTCCTTCCGAACAATGGCGGATCACTGCTCAGCCTTCTTCTACGGCTGGCTAGAGGGGCTGGAAGGGTGATGCACTTTGCAGTGAAGGGTGTGAGGGATGCTGTGAAAGGTGCTGAGCTCAGAACATTCGGCTAATCACCATAGCTTCAATGGAACTTTTGAACCAATGGTGTTGAGCTCATGATTCTTAGATACAATTTCCAGTCTTTCTAAATGACAAGCTGACACTGATTCACAACCAACAAGACTTTCAGCTTTCATCATTCTTTGCATCAGCGGCTGGCATTGGAAATCGGTCTGAGCAGTTTGATCCAGTAGCAGGAATTGGTCCATGGTGGCATGACCTTGTACACTAGAATAGCCTCATTCTGCAGCTGGCAGCAATGAGCTAGAGCATAGCAGCCTCTGATATTAAGCCCTCAGTCAATTGTCTATGGAGGGAGGTTTGGGAGTCAGGAATTGAACAAGATTTGAGGGCAACTCCTACGTCCCACGAGATGGTCAAAAGTTTTTTGATAGCCTTCACATAGAGCTCATTACATTTTTGTACAAAAATTGTATCCCTCCCATTGCAAGCTGATTTGTACATCTTTCGATTTTTTGCAAAGGCACGCGGCACGCATATAATTCAAAGACATTTTTCGAGCGATTGAACAACCTAACACACAGTCAAGATGGCAGCTGTCACATCAAAGAACCTCGCAACCTGCAAGCTATGTGGCAGTACAGTGCACTCCTACTCCCGCCCACCACCGCATCAGTCAGCTTCTTTCTTAGCACGCTCCTTCCACGCCGTTCCTCTTCGCAAGTCAAAACCAGCGGTAGCGTCAATATCAGTGGGCCGGGCCTCAGTGTTCAGTTGTGACACCGGAAAGTCTTCCAGGGCTCAAATATCTGGACAGAGGGAGCTTTGGGAAGAGGGGTTCCTCCGGGGAAGGGCAATGAGAGATCAGCAGGGGTTGGAGGGGCGGAGTTTTTCCAGGGGGAGGGGCTCCAAGAGTGGCCCAAGGGCATTTGCAAAGAGGGAAGGGAACGTCTCTGAAGAGGTGAGGAAATGGCGCATGGTGCAGCACCAGTTGCTCCTTGTTAAGGGACACTCTTTCCAAAGCCGCAGGATCAAGATTTGCCAAGCTGCTCTGGGCCGGATGTTGTGCAGATAGGATTATCCTATTTGAGCTGAGCATCTTGAAATATTGAAAATCCTGGAGAGTCCATCTTGCTGAACCACCAAGAAGCCTTCTGCAGTTGCAAGGGATGTTATGGTCCTTCGCCATTCTCCCACGGAGGTTTCTTGAAGTGTCTCATTTGAGGAGCTGCTTTTGAGTTGCCTATCTTGCAATGGCCTTCTGACTCACACAGCAAATGTTGGCTGTTACAGGATGGGGATATTGACTGGTTACAAAGTCTTTGAGAAGGACAACATTAAACTCCTTTCCAACATTTGTGAGAGAGATTGACTGCTCTGACATGGATATCCTGTGTCGAAGTCAGGGGAGGGGATATTTTCTCGAGATGAAACAGCGTTCACGTGCATGCACTGCTAACAATCTAAACATAATATTGCAGAGAAAGTTTCTGTGTGACAATTCACAATCAGAAGCTTAGCTTAAGACGACTATTTTTTCTTTTCTTTTTCTGAAAGGCATGTGGGGAAGCATCAAACATGCCCAGCTTCAAAATTGTTCTAAACCTGACGCCGTATACCCCTTGCTTTGCACCAGGCGAGAAAAGAGGCGCTGCCAAGAGTGTGGCGCGCCGACAATGAGTGGCTGGCTAAGCACGGCATCCCCACCATTGAGATTGACGAACCTGGGGGCATCCCTCGTTTACACCTCAACTCCAAGCTGGAGATGCCCCTGGTGAAATTGCCCCCCAGTCTAGAGTGGCTAGACCTCTACGGCGAGTCTCAGATTAACCTCCGGAAAAAGCTGGCGGTTAGCCTTGACCCGTTTGGGGAGCCGCAGGTCAAGCTGAGGGAAAGGCTGGCCGAGAGCCTTGACCCGTTTGGAGAACCGCAGGTTAAGCTGCGGGAGAAGCTGAAGGTGAACCTTGACCCGTTCGGGGAACCGCAGGTTAAGCTCCGAGAGAAGATTGCGGTTAACCTCGACCCGTTTGGAGAACCCCAGGTTAAGCTCAGAGAACAGCTGGCGGCAACGCTGAAGCCCCCTCTTTCGAAACCTCCGGGGGGGCACAAACCCCTCATCTTTAACCCCCCTGGCACGGTGGAAATCCCCAAGGAGCCAGCGGAGGTTAAGAAGGGGCAGAAGCGGAACCCGTTTTTGGAGGGGAACTTTGCCCCGGTGGAAGAGGAGTGCCCGGACGAGATTCCGTGCCACGTCATTGGAAACCTGCCAGGGGACCTAAGGGGGCAATTCCTGCGCAATGGGCCGAACCCGCGGTTCCCACAGGATGCAGGCGCGTACCACTGGTTTGACGGTCAGTCATTTCTAAAGGGTTTGTTTACTTCACCAGGGTGCTTCTTCTTGGGACTGACATGTAGACTGGCGCTGAAACTTCTTGGACGAAGTCGAAGTTTTCGAGCCTATCTAAAGCTAATATTAACAATTCTACACTCATCTTTTAAAAACTTGAAATACGGAAGCCGAGTCACAGGCGAATGACAGGGTTGGCCCAAACATTTAGGGACACTGCTGGTGTTTTGTAGGTTCTGGTGGGTCTTCGGTTCGCTCAGATAAGCTGGGAGAAGGCATCACGTTCCTCTTTGTTCACGCGTTGAAGTGGATCGCTCGCTCTAGCTGCCCAATCAGGCGCGTGCTCAGGGCTTTCTGACCACCCGAGGCACCCCCACTTTGTCGCTCATTTTGCGAGAGTGGCTGGGTTCAGAAGTTGCAATTATCATGGTAATCGATGCCTCCTATCTCTTGCTGCTCGAAAGGGTCTCATGCACGAGCAGTTCAAGAGTCACTGCCGCACTCAGACAGGAACGTCATCATGACGATTCCGTTCCGTCCCTGCAGGCGACGGAATGGTGCACAGCCTCAAGTTCCAGGGCCTGGACCGTCCGCCAGTGTACTCGTCCAAGTACATCCGGACGGCCGGGTTCAAAGAGGAGTCGCGACAGGGGCAGGGGAAGTTCTGGCCGGGAGTCAAGATGCAACCGGTGAGCAGAAAACATTTTATTCGCCCCTCTCTGGTTGCTTCAGTTGAAGATGATGCGATTTTTATATATCCAGAATTGTTCGGACGTCCGGCTTCAAAGAGGAGTCGCGGCTCGGGCGGGGAAACTGTCGGCCGGGAGCCAAGATGGAACCGGTAAGCACTGCCCACCTTTTTTCCCTTCTCCAGTTTGGTCGTTTCTGAAAATGGCGCTCTGGACAAGTATTTACGAACGTCTGGCTTCAAAGAGGAGTCGCGGCTGGGGCGGGGAAGATTCTGGCCGGGACTTTAGATGTTTGGGTTCTCCTCTCCGACCTGCAAAAAGCAAGCCACTGATGCTTGAAGTTGGGCAGTTTTGGCCGGGGCTCAAAAAGAAGCTGGTAGGCACTCGTCATCATTCTCCCCTTTTCATTCTTATCCTCACCGTATATACCTTCTGAGGACCGCAGGTTGGTTGTTGTTCCGTACCTTCTGTGTGGCAATTCACAGATTGTATGCGTTGAATATCAAACGCAGACCAGCTTGCCCCTTCTACTTTGACATCACACGCAGAGTTTACGGCTTGGTAATGATTACAGCCAGCTGGGAGCGACTGCTTCCTCAGCTTGGTCCTTCAATTTCGTATGACGCCCCTACTTCGTGAAACTCTGGTGCTCTAACGTCGGTGCTTTCTGACGGCGTCTCTAAATGATACATTTGACAGCAGACGAGCCCAGTAGTGGGGCAGATTGCGCAGCCCGATTACTTTGCGGCTTGCATGAGTCAGCGTTTTCCGTTGCTCAAGGCATCACCAACCATAGTCTGTGCCTGGTGCATTTCAGAATGCACAGGAGTACGTGGCAACGAGGGCATCTCGCTTGGCAGTCGTACAAACGACTCGTGCTTTTTAAAAATGTGGGACTGAGGGCTGTTCTCTAGCGCTGAGTGACTGAGGGCTGTTCTTTAACGCTGAGTCGGTCCTTCTCGTAATCAGGGGGCAAATCTCGAAACTTTCTTGAGCACGACGCGTCATAAAGGGTGCCGGTCAATATTCCTTATGCCGGATGTACTCGCTTCTCTGACGTTCGAGCGGACGATTCTCCTCATAGAGAAGATTGGCACGTTCCTTCTCATGTTTGAGAAGCTATTACTCGCCAACGGCAGGTTATGCGCAATCTCAGCCAGCGTTTCTTGTCCCAAAAGAACAGTTTTTCTGCCTCGGTGATGGGAACGGGCCGATTTGCTTACTCAAGATGCTAGCTGCTCATCGGTCTTTCACAAAACTCAAGACGAATCTTCAGCACCTGTTTTCCTTGCTGGCTACCCTTTCGAAAAGCCAGCCGCATGTTCTCACTCGGGCAAGGACGAGATTGACGGTGAGTCGCTGTCAGTCATACGTCCAGACTACTCCGACGCCCATATCCTGTTTCGGACTTAGTATCTTTGAACCAGAGGTTTCAGACTGTGTGGAAGAGGAAGAGAGCTATCAATCAATTGCCAATAAAAAACGACGCTTTTTTCAGTCGTCTTATTCCTAGCGAGTTTTTTGCCGCCTTTTGCTGGAGTTTACCTCAGGTGCTGTCCACCACAGATTTTGAATCGTCAATACCGAACGGTTCTGGAAGCTATCATGCGGTCAACCAAACCCGTCAGGCTGGGCGAAGACGAACGCAATCTGGCTCCAGTACCTGCAGCCAGGAAGTCTTCTTCATCCGGATGCCCAGTTGCCTTTTTTCTTTTGTTTTTTAAACAACTTACTATTCAAAGACTGAGAACTGAGCTAAAGCTGAATGGTTTCGTCATCGCAAAATGATTGGGGTCTGAATGCGACACTGTGGTGAGCCTTTGGGGACTTCGATCCTGTCGTCTTCGGCCCATCCAACTAAACGTCGTTCGCAAGCGAATCTCAGAACGAAGCGAATCTCAGAACGTACTTGGCGTTTGAAACCTTTCCGGCAAGGGTTGCAAATGATGCGGGGAATCTCGGAGCCACCAACTTCGAAAGGTAGTATTCTCCATTCGCTGACGCCGTTTCCATACCGCGCTGTCCTCGCTTATCTGTTTGGCGTAAGTTCGCCAGGTCCGTTACAGACGTGTTTCAAGGATCTAGAATGAATCAACTGGGCCATGTTCCCTTCCGTGCTCGTGTTTTTTTGCGCTCACCTTTGCCTTGTCATCGCCCCTGCCTGTGGGACACGCTTTCCGGTGAGCGAAAGCATCACTGTAAGTGATTTGCGAAGAGAGGCTTCTAGTTGCTTGTGGTTCTGTACTTAATAATATCTGTGGAGATAATATCTGTAAGATCGTAGAAAGCAGTGAAAGGTCATGTCAGAACGCAAACTGTAGAGCCACAAACCGAGCAATGGTATCGAGGAAAATACGCAAGAAGGCAGACCTGCTATGCTTTGCCTTCAGCCTGCTGTTTTGCGTTCCGCCGATTGATCCAGAGTCCTGTCTTCTTGCCACTAATCATTGAGCAGATACGTAGAATAGGATTGGGACTTTATCCTCACGAATCGGACATCCGCTTGATATGCAGTGGATGTTCCACAGGGGAACAAATACGCATCTTTGAGTGTGGCTACAAGCATATTCTGGGGCAACGATGGGGCTCCAGTTGGAATTGAGCTCTTCCATTTGGCCGCGTGTGCTAAGAATATCTGATGCCCCTTGAGTTTTTTCATTCGGCTCCGAACGTGGTGTTGCGCATGCTTAATCTCAAGAGGTTTTTGAAATTACATGCCTCCTCTCACTGTCGGGAATCGCGGGTTGTGAGAACGCCTGTCAAAACAGCGAACACATCTTTTCCTGTCGAGCCTATATGGGTTGGTTCAGTCCAGTGGATTCTGTCAGCCCTGCCTAGGATAGGGCAGCGCGGAATAGACAATTCGATATTTGATCAAAGCAGAAGGCGAAGCGGGCTCGGACGAACCCGCACTGACTCATGAAAGTCAACTCTCACCATCTCTGCAAAATTGATGCCCGTTTGCCCTCTACCCTTGTGTCCACATGTTTTCGTTTCAAACGTTGAACGGTGATCGTTTTCAAACCTTTCGGCGCGTTCTTCCTGATAGAGGACGTCAGAAGTTTCTCAGCGAGCGCTCAACCCACCAATTCCCAGCAGAGCCCAGACTCTACTGTATTGAGTGGAAGGGGGAAAAGGGTTGCGGGATTAAACGTTCACCTGGTCTTCCACTCTCGCTCCGGGAAGAAGAATGCAGCATAACACCCAAGCTGGATCTTTCATAGGCAGTCAGCATGCGGTTTTGATGTTTGTAGGTATCTGGAGCTCATTTTACGTACCTCTACGTTTTGCCTCGTTGGCGGTGGAACCCTACCTCGTTTGTTGGAGTGTCTGCATTCTTCCAACCTCTCTCGGCTGCGTTTTCATTTCAGCAGAGTGGTTCTTGTGAGTGGATGCTGATCGTCTGCCTTACTGGATTTACTGCCGTTCTCAAATTTTGCTTAACATGGCCCTAGTTGTATCATTCAGCCCGTAAGCCAAAAACTCCCTTCGCAAGCAAGCGGGCATGATTGTTGTTGTGCCCCAGCAATGATGAGTGTCGATTAAGACGGATCATGGGGGCTGAGTCCCTCATGTGTATTCCTTGATCTCTCCTGATGCCGCACCAGAATCTGGTTCGGATAGCCTGTGACGTTCATTGCTTTGTTTGGCCGATCTATGGATGCCCATTCTTGGAATTGAGACAAGCTTTTTGAGGATGCGGGTCGCCTCTTAACTCATCTCGTTGCTTTAAGACCTACAATGTCTTCGCAGCGGAGAAAGGACTTAGAGTAGCGTTGTGGCAGGTAAGTCGTGCGAGGCCGTGCTTTGCACTTTTAACATCACTCTCTAGATTATGCAACCGCTGAAAAAGCCTCTTGTGAGCGACGAAGCTAGTTGTCTGCGTACATCAAAAGCCGACTGCCTTGCTTAACTGAGGCTCTGTTCGTTTGGACACAACCTACTATCCTTGAACGGAGTGAGAACATGGGCAGACTCCCTTCCTCTGCGCAAGAGTTTCCTTGCAGAAAGTCTAGATTCGATATCGTCAGGACGCTCACGAGCCCCATCTGCAACTCAACGACACTCTCACTCTTCAGCGACTCGTGTGTGCTGTGAGGTTGTTCCTGATTCATTTGGCAATGATGAGGGAATAAGGATAACGATTCATTAGAAGCTCAACCATCCCGACGACCGCTCTGATTTCCTCCTGATGCACAGTCTGTGTACTCTAGTTCGCGTTCTGATGCGCCTTACTTGGCCAATCACAGGGAACCTTGCGATCAGTCACAACGGCAGTTCAATCGTTTGCAAGACAAGAGCCACAGCTGGGCTGGGTTTAGTTTGACAGCCTTGTTGCGCTACGTACGATCAGTTGGATAGACGCCTGTTCTCTTACCCTTGTCTTCTCTTCAAAGATGACTCACTTGGGTTGTTGCTTACAAGAATCCACGATCCGGCGTGGAAACGCCCGTTTGCTTGATTGCCGCGCTTTAGAATGCCCACCTCGCGCTTCATATGTACCCCTTTAGCAATTTATACGCTTTACTCTTTGAGAGCTGGGAGTCTAATACCTCTGGCTGAAGTGGCCGTATTGCAACCTTCTGGTGGATGATCACTGAAGAGATGGTTTTTCCATCTGAAGTTGGTTTCTCGCGGCAAAGATTCTGACGAGGATCCGCTCCTGGGCACTGAGACCCAATTGTCTTCGAGTCATTATATGAAGCCACCGACAGCAAGAATTGTCGTTTCATAACGTATGACCACTGCATATCCTCAGGTATTTCCTTGAGCTATTATGCTGAACGTGCAAGGTGTTTCTTCGCCATTCAAAAGGGCTGTTTAGTGCGCGCCTTTGGTTTTCAGCCACCTTTGATCTTAGCTTTTGCTTTAATCCAACAGACATCTGCACGAATCGAAACGAACGCACAGCTACGAAGCAATTCTAGGTTGAACGTCGTCGACTCTCCTTAATTCAGATCTTACTTGGTTTGTCTGGAAGGTCAGCCGACTGGTTCAGTAAGTTGCTTTTCCGAAACCGTGCTCCTTCCTGTGGGCAAAGATGACCGCGCTTGAGTGTTCTCTCAACCGCCTCCAGAGATTTGACGCCCAGTTTGTCCAATTCAGAATGTGATATGTGCGTCGATGAATGCGAGCGGGTCCAGGCGGATGCTTCCTTTGGCCTGCAATCACCACTTGCAGCCTGACTGTAACGAGCAATAATTGCAGTAATCCCTAAAGGCTCAAATAACCGCCGGTCTAGCTTCCGGGAGTATTTGAAAGTCCTCTGTCTCTTGCTGTTTCTGTATGGATAGCAGCTCGGGAATACGCATTAGGACAGGCGCATGACCTCAGGCCGGTATCAACTTTTTCTGCCAGCATTCTTGAGTCATGTTGCATTGTAAGATACGAGGTAACAGGCACGACAAGCGCAGCTAGGAGATGGCGTTACCGTCTCGGCTGGGCGCGAATGTCATCGGCTATGATGAGTACAGACTGGGGACTACAAATAGTCCCATACTTCCACTCCTCTCGGGACCCTAATGCCGGGCTCCTTTACCATTACTTAGTACACTTTAGCGTTGTGGTGCAAATCATTCGTCCTTTTGTGAGTGAAACTGAACGACGTAAAAGGTGCTTCAGTCATGAAGAGAGCCTTCTGTATTCTGCGGCCTCCAACATTATGCATCTATTCTGACGCTCTCCACACTGTTCAGACTTTTCCTTTTCCGTGATTGACAAACTGGGACATTGTTGAGGGAAGCCATGACTGTGGTACCAAACAGTTTCAGATTTGGCAATATCTACGCTTTGCAAGAGCTCATCAACGACTGCAGCCATATGGGGTATTCAGATTCCGCAATTCATATGTAGCGCATCCAATTTTTGAACCCGCTGAACGCTTCTTTGCAGTTGAGGCGCTGCTTGGTGACCGCGGCCGTTCGGTCGATGCGGAGGAGGGAGGAAGAACGGGACGTCCCCGGCCTGCTGGCGGTGAGCTGTCGTTTCTGTCGTTTGGCCGCACGAACTTATACAAAATCAAGTGAAAAGCTAGAGCTTATACGAACTTGAGTTCAGGTGCGGTCTATTATACGCTCCCAGTTTACGGGTTGGCTCCAGGTTCACGCTCCTGCATTGCCTTGGATTGATGCTTAAGAAAGGGAGTCAAGACTGTCGTGGCCGAATGTGCTCTCGCAACGTGTCATGAATTGTCAGAGATCGTGAGGGTTTTGTAGATCGAAAGCGAAAGACGTCGCTGATGCATGTTAGGGCCTTAGTCTTTTGAATTTGGTTTGTGTATGAGCAGGCAGTCCGTGCCGGCTCTGACTGGAGCAACCGATAACCTCTGGTCGGCTAACATCGTGCGGATCGATGCGACGATCGGTCAGTCGAGAGCTGCTCCGCCTGCAGCACGCGAGGATTGACCGCAAAGAGACCGCTGACGTCACCCCATCGAACCTATTCAAGCCGTTGGTAGATGTTTCTAAAAGCCCGTTTTTCCTCCTTAAAGTCTGATGAGCTCTTGCTGACGCGTCGGTGCTCCGTTTCTCAGGTGAAGAACACTGCAAACACGGGTCTGATACGGCATGCGGGGAAGCTGTTCGCGATGTGGGAGGGGGGGCATCCGTACGTGGTAGACGAGGCTCTTGAAACAAAAGTAGGTTCTTACTTCTGGTCCATTTAGCACTTGTGCCGAGATTATCAGCTTGGCTTTAGCGACTTGCATTCCTGTCCGTCCGGGAACGCGCGAAGTTGTCTTGTTGAAACCGCTCCAACAGAACTTTACCGGAGGATGTTGTCCTTTGAGATCCCGTCTGAAAATGGGCAAAGAAGGATCCTGAAGACGGTTTGGCAAAGATGTGGCTCAGATATGATCAGTTCAAGAGCCATCTGATCCGTTTGATAACCAAGTTTTGTCTTTGGATCGGGCCCTGACGAGATACCCAACGAAACAGCGGTGAGCTCGACTTGCCAGAGGGGTCTTGAATTGTCGGCTCGGATGCCCAGACAATCCAACTGTCTTGGGCGTTTTTATTCTTTTGAAAGTTCTTTCTTTGGAAAATCCCTAGCCATTAAAAAAAAAATGATTTGATTCTTTGTTTTTTCTGCTTATTCGAACACTTTGTTAAAAAAAAACTCTTTTTTAACTTCTTTCCACTCCCCTTGGGGGAGAGCGACTTCGTTCCACCTCAAACGAATTGGTGAGCTCCTCGTTGGGGGGGACTCCTAGGTTGCACCTCTTTCTTGTTAGGTTATTTTCTGTATACTGCTGGACACAGTCTACCCCTATACTCTCAAGCGAAATCACCGCAATGGCAACCATTGACTACCGTTTCCGGCTTCACCGTATGTAAGAAAGCAAGTATTTTTTGGATTATGCTCGGGTTTGTTCGCAATCCGGATCTCATGTGCGCTTTCTCGGAACACGGACCTAAGGGAGACGCGCTTGACACTACTTCGCGATTTGCAGGGCCCCACCACCTTCGACGGCCGGCTGGTGTCATCTTTTTCCGCACACCCGAAGCTGGACCCGCAGACCGGGGAGCTGATCTACTTCGGCTACAGCCTCGTCGCGCGGCCGTACCTGTCTTACGGAGTCATCAGCAAGGAGGGCGAGATCGTGCATCAAGCAGACATTGACCTGCCTAACCCTGTCATGGTGAGGGTTGAGGAACCTAACCCCAATTATTCTGGGGTTTGATGTTTGGCTTTTAGGCTGTCCCAACGAGTCATCAGCAAGGAGGGAAATGATGTGCAACAAGCGGATATCGACCAAATCCGGTCATGGTGAGGGTTAAGGAATCTAACCCTAAATCTTCTGGAGTTTTGGTGGTATGGGTTCAAGCTTGTCGAACGGGTTGATCAGGAAGGAGGGAGAGATGGTGCATCAGGCGGCCATCGACCTGCCGAACCCGGTCATATCAGGGTCAGAGGGAGTCCGTTCTTCCCTAGTCTTATGACGGCGGAGTTACATAAAAGCTTGTTCCGTTTCGAAAGTAAAGTTTATTGGAGAAAAATCTGATGTTCAAGAACCAGGAAGATCTCTTCTTGGACTCCGCATTTCAGGGTTTATTGCTGGGTTTTCCGCTCAACCAAGTGACAAAGGGATATAGGAAGACGAGTTTGTCACTCGTCTAAAAGTGCGAAAGCCGTCTTCCGACCACTTGTTCACGCCTCTGGTTATGCCCCAATAACGATTGGTGCCCACAAACGCCTTTAACCCAGTAACACAGCAGATTTCAATGTAGCCTATCTGGAACCTAGCAAGTCCTTCTCATACCATTTTGCCTTATTTGATATATGCAACATCATCCAAGCGGTGGCTCCCTCTTGTCGATTGCTTTACTCATGGCGCCTTCGTTCGAGCCTCCCCTTCAATCCTCCTCTGCCCCTACAGAACTCCTCGGAAGGTTCGCTGTCCGCTGTAGATCACTGGAGCGCTTCGCTCTCCCAAGGACCTCCTCCCCAAAACAAGTTTCGTCGCTCTAACCTACATTGAAATAAGAACGGCATCCGCCGCTGGCTGCCTCCCTTGATTACTGAAACCTCCAACATTCCTTCTCGCTCTGTGGTACTAGAACGGTCCGCTTAGCATGCTTCTGATTTGCAGATGCACGACTTTGCCATCACGGAGCATTACTCCCTCTTCCTGGACTTCCCGTTCGTGTTCAACCCGCGGCGCTTGATGGAGGTGGCCAACGGCAAGCGGCAGAAGCCCTTCGTCTTCGATGGGGTAAGGGCACCCGTTTCCTAAGATTTTACCACTATTAACCAAGGCCTCCGAGAAGAAGAATGCGGCATATGATCGGAGGTGGATGTTTGAGTGGTGGTAAGCACGCGGTTGTGAGATTTACAAGGATCTGGGATCTCACTTTGACCTGCCCTGACTCACGATTTCGAGGCCCCGCCGCTCACCGGCGCACTCTTACTGTGCCTCCTGACGTCAGCTATGTAGGCCTTGCCGCCGGAGACTTGTGACGTCAGCCTTTGCAAAACGTTGATCCTTTTGCACCTGGGCCACTGAGAGACGTGCAGAAGCGCGGCTCAAAGATAATTACGTACCTGTGCAAAGCGTATCGTCCCGCCCTCTCCAGGAAGCAGATAATCGTAACTGACGTCGCTCCCCGGTACTAGCTGACGTCACTGTCGCTTCTATAGATGGTCGGCGGCCGCATTGGCGTCCTGCC